CTCCTTCATTGCTCTTTTCTCTACTCCCCATACCTGCTGACTGCTAGTACTTTTGTGCGGCCTTACATCTATTCTGGGTTTGGCTGCTGTGACGCCATGAGAATTTGCCTTGCAGACCTTCCTAATAAGTGGAGCTTAATTATCTGAGGGCCGCAGCTGCAATGCTTTAAAATCTATCTCTAAGGCTGTGGTTCTCGGAGCTCCAGTGGCGCAATCGGTTAGCGCGGGGTACTTATAAGGCTGTGGTTCTCAACCTTGGCTGCACATTAGAATCACCTGGGAATCTTTCTAAAATCCTGATTTCTGGGCCTCATCCTCCGGAAATTCTGTTTCTTTGTTATGGGGTGGGGCCACAACATGAGTAACAACGAAACAGAATTTCCGGAGGATGAGGCCCAGAAATCAGGATTTTAAAAAGATTCCCAGATGATTCTAATGTGCAGCCAAGGTTGAGAACCACTGGTCTAGGTCCTCCACCAGGTGGTGGTCCTGAAATCCTGGTGGTTTATATTGGGTGATCTTCACGTGAACTCAACAGTTCATTTCAGAAAGCATGGTTGGGGCCTGTGTTGAACGTTCAATATTTTCAAACAGAAAAATGCCTGGAGACGTCAGCCTTTGCTAAGGTACCTGCTGAAGCGTGAGAGTGTGATTAAAGTGTTAAACTTGAATGGAATCGAACAAAATAAGCAACGACAGCAGGAACCGGAGGACACCAAAGAAGCTCGGAGACAAAAGAGCTTGACCTGTGCGCACAGGTCGGGCACATCGGCGCAGAGGGGAGGCAGGGCGTGGAGAGCGGTTTCTGGGTCGTGGGTCCAGACCCGAGAGCACCAACGGCCCTCGTGGTGAGGTCCGAAGCCTGGGAGGGGCGGCGTCCACACTGCTGGGGGAGGGGGGTCCGGTGGGGAGGGAGGCAGGGATGCCTGGGACTCAGACGCATTATTTGTAACCCCACAATGACGGACACAATTTAATTTAAAAAAACCTTGGCTGCGGATGTCCTGTTGTGCAAGAGACACAGAAGACAAATGGCTTCTAGGGGGTAATGAATGAACAAGAAGATGTGGAGAGCAGCCAGCAAGGCCTAATTTAAGAATAACAAAGGCGTCCCTGGGTGGGCTCGAACCACCAACCTTTCGGTTAACAGCCGAACGCGCTAACCGATTGCGCCACAGAGACCCGCGGGAATAGCTGGCCTCAGGGCAACATAGAGCAGGCAGACTCTCAGACTCCGCTACGGGACCGATGCCGTGCAGACTCTAAAACCTCCGAAGGCGTGACAGGTGGTGCCCGGCCTTGCTCCGCTTCTGCTTCAGATGCCAGCGCCCCGGGGCGCCCGGTGGGAAGGAACCCAGACCACAGTGCGAGGGGGAGCTCACCGTTTACAGCTGGAAAGACAGAATCCTGGTGGCACTTCAGTTCCTGTTCCCAACTGTACTCGTGTCCTTTCTGCACTTTGCTTAGTGTGTTGTTTTTTATCTCATTAACCAGATTCTATTCTGAAATATTTTGAAATATGGTCGCGAACTTTTCTCACTTATTTGTGACTTTTCCCCTGTACAGCCAGAATCACCATCCATTGCCAGGGGTGCTGAGATGCAGAAAGAGCCGTGCTCAGCTTTTGACTTCCAAAATAAGCTCCCAAAGCTACTTTCAGAATCAACTGATGTGAATGAAGCTTTTTTTATTTTTTGAGATTTTTTTTTAAGGAGGAAAATATTTTCTTAGGAATAAAAAATCAAGGACCTGAAGAAGGTCAGATGGATAAAAAAAGAAAGGAAAACGTGTCCATGTAAATAGATTTAAGAAATAATCGATAAAACATTTTGTTATTTAATATATCCGTGTCTCCGCTTCTCCAAATTGAGATAATAAGAGTGACCACATGTTGTTTTTTTGTTACTATTAAATGAGTCGAACTATTTAAAGTGCTTACAACAGTGCCTCCCAACTGGGTCTGTTGGGAGGACATGGAGGTGACAGGACATGGCCCCTGGCTTGGTGGAGGACAGACAGCAGCCCCACCGCGGTGCAGCAGGACATACATCTCCACGGGGAGTTCAGGCCCCAGGGAGGGCAGGAAGGTCCAGAGGGAAATGGGTGGGGGCCCAGCTGAGTCCCAAAAGGCAAGTGTTGGCAGACGGCCAATTGTGGAAGAGATGGTGACGGGGCCCCATTTACAGGAAAGAGCTCCGTCCTGTGCGTGTGTCCGAACAGATCCGAGCAGGCCCCGCCCAGGCTGACGAAATCAGGCCCGGCAGGCAGGGCTGGAGGAAGGCGAGGAGGACGGGGCTGAGATGCCCCCTTAGTACTCAATGGCCTGTGAAACCCAACTCGGTTCAGATGAAACGGGCAGGAAGCATCCCCCCTGGGCCCGGGGAAGGACGGCCTGGGTCTCTGGACGTGAGGGCGAGGCCCACGGGGATTCCAAGCAGGTTCCTGTATTCCTCCCTCCGACACAGACCACCCACTGTGTGCTGACACTGGCCGGTGGGAAGGATGGCCCCTGGCTTGGTGGAGGACAGACACCGCGGGGAATGGGTAGGGGCCCAGTTGAGTCCCAAAAGGCAAGTGTTGGCAGACGGGCAAGTGTGGAAGGGATGGCGACGGGGCCCCACCAGGGAGCAGCAGGGCAAAACCCCCCTTCAGAGCTTGGCTGACCAGACACAAAGGTCCCCGCTCAACCTGCAGGGCGCTTCTGCTCCTCTGTGGTACACAGACCCAGCGGGGAGAGAGCCAGCCAAGGCCCTTAAATGACACATACCCCCCCCCCCCAATCATCTGCACGGGGGGAGCAATGAGGATGATGGCCCATCGTTCCCTTAAAACTCATTGTTTCTACCACAGTAACTTTAGGGCGTGGGTTCCCAGACAATCCTCAGAGAAGAAACCCACCAAGATGAGCCTCGCAGGGCCCGAGGGAGAGGAGACCCTCCCAGAGAGATCCTGTGTCCGATTCCTGTGCTCTCAGAGAGAGAAACACAGACAACACAGACAGGGCGGGCGGGGCTCAGCTGGGAGGGGTCAGGGGCCAGGGAGGATTTGGATCCGTGAGTCACCAGCAGCCCTGAGCTGGAGTGACACCACGTCTATCATCATTTTTTATTAGTAAAACCAGACCCAGCCCTCTTTCCTCCAGGAAGACTTCCCTGATTGACAGTCACCCAAGTGCCACTCATCACTCTTCCCCTAACAGGCTGGATTGTTGGCTCTGCCCTCGTCCCCGTCCGACTCAGCGGCACAAAACACACCTCACTGTCTGTCTCCCAGACTGGCCCTGACCCCGCCACCCCAGGCTATTGCCAGCATCATCTTCCCACCCGTCCTGGCCCCTTCCCAGGTGCTCCCTTTGCACACTGATCCTTGGGGCTCTCATCCAGAGACAGAGACCTTCAAGCCAGGGTCCATGTCGAGGGTGCCTCTGCCCTCATGTCCTGTCCCGCCATGTAGGTGCCTGAAGGAGTGATCAGCATCTCGTGTCAGAGGGTCAACTCCCCAAAGAGAAGACCCCTCTCTCTCAGACAGAGGCTGAGAGCAGGGGCTGCCTCCCCCCTCAGACAGGGGCTCCTGGGGGCAGAGGCTGCCTCCCCCCTCAGACAGGGGCTCCTGGGGGCAGGGGCTGCCTCCCCATTCAGACAGGGGCTCCTGGGGGCAGGGGATCTCTCTCTCACCCAAAATAGATGACCTCCTATTTGGGGATCCAAACCTCCCCTCCTGGACCCATCGCTGACGCCCTAACCATGAAGAGAGAGACACCAGAAACTGCTGCAAAGTTGCTTTATTCTCTTCCCTCCCTGGTGTCCTTCCACACCCATGCACATGCCTGCGCACACACATCGGGCACACGCAGACACGTGTGGCAGAGCTCCACTCGGCCGCCCGGCTGGGTCACGTGGCTCCTGGGGCAGGCCTGGTGGCTGCCCGCTCCGTCTAGTAGAGGCTGTGCCGGGCGCAGTAGTGGGCGCACAGCTGCCGGTGGTACTGCAGGTGGTAGTCCCTCAGCAGCTGGCCCAGGACGTACAGGAACTCGTCAAAGCAGATCTGGTTGTCCTTGTCCTTGTCCGCTGCCCGGAACAGCTCGGTGACAAAGTATGGCTTCTCCCGGCCCTGAGGAGGGGTGGAGGGTCAGCCAGCCCCCAGGCACTCGGCCCTGCAGATGGTCCCGCTGGCGAGGAGCCAGCACAGGGAAACGGAGTGTGGCCCTGTCTGCCGGGGGCTGGCGGGGAAACAGCTCCTCGCTCGCTCAGTGGCCAGGACACTGCACAGCAGAATCAGGCAGAAGGGGCACAGGGAGCCGGGCACCTGGACCTGGGCCGCATGGGCAGACAGGTGGTACAGACTGGGCACTGCTTGCTGGCTCGCCGGCTAGTGGCTGAGCGGGGCTGAGCGCCTGGCCCTCTGCTGGGGGCTTTTAAGCCCGTCTTCCCAGCTGCACATACACCCTGCAAGGGCCGCCCAGCCTGGGGCTGCACACCGGGAGCTGCCAGTCACCGCCCACCTGTCCCTCAGGCCTGCACCTCCAGCACCATTGCAGGTCGGCACCCAGTGGGTCGGATTTCCGCAGGGCGTGCCATCCGCCCAGGATTGTTTATGGCAACTGGCCTGTGTCCTCAGGGAAGTGCAGAATGGGGGAAGGCCACCGCCATGGCCCTGGGACTGTCCGATGTCCCAGAGCAGTGGCCCTGAGGGCTACGGACTGGGGGTGGCGTAGGAGAGCAAAGGAGCTTTGAGGTGGAAGGGACAGCAGGGAGGAGGTCAATGGTCAGTGTGCATGGAGGAGACAGGACAGGCAACGATGAGAAGAGCCCCGGGCAGGGCAAGGGCAGTGAAGCAGGTTTCAGCTGGTTTGGGCTAGAGGCGGGGACCCAGGGTGCAGCCCTCAGAAAGCCTCCGGGGAGGGAAGTCACTGCCTCAGGAAACAGCTGGGGGCCTGGAGGGCAGCTCCCACCCTGGGGCAGACTGGCACCCTCTGTCCCCCCCCCCCTCCCATCCCTCCACCAGCTACTTCCTTTAATCTGTCACCTCCACAAAGCTGGCTGACCCCACAGTGCACAGACCTCCTGCCTGGGGCAGCTCTCCCAGGCTCCCCTCACTCAGCCCACCTGCCCAGGCCGCCATCTCCGCCCTGTGCCCAGGTGCCTGCCCCATGGGCCCCGTACCCAGGTGGAACGGTTTCCCTAGAAACAGGGGCCTAATCACAGTCACCCTGTCCCCCCTCTGTGACCTGGTGGCTGTGCTCCGATAAGCCCAGGACCAGACTCTTCTCTGATGTTCCCCAAAGGGAGGCAAGGCAGACCCGCAGGGACGAGGGGTGCTTGTCCTGGATGAGCAGCCTTGACTCACCCAGGGGCATGGCACCGAGGGCAGACACTCGGGTTGGCCTTGCATCCCCAGGAGCCAGGTAATCACATGGCTCATCCTGATGGCAGAGGAGATTCCAGGCCTGAGCAGGGTGGCTGAGCAGCCTAGACTCGGGGCTGGGCCCCTAGGCTGGTCTGAGACAACCTGGGACAAGAGGGGGAGGGGAAGCTCCATTTCCTACCTGCCCACACCTCATCCCTCCTGGCTCCCCTTTAACCCAGCGATCCTGGCTCCCCTTTAACCCAGCGATCCTCCCCAGCGTGGGGTGGGGAGGAGGAGGCTGTGCTAGACCCCAGGAGAAGGGGTTGGGCTCGAGGGGCAGGCTGGGCAGGGCCGAGGGGCCGAGGGAAGGGTTAGGACCTGTTCTCAGGGGAAGCAAAACAAGCAGAGCAACAACCGGCTTTGGGGTTCGGATGGCGTCTCAGGGATTAGCGATGCTTGGGCTGGAGCGGGGCGGGGCAGGGAGTCTCAGGAGGAAAAGCCGCTGGGCCGTCCTCCCTCTGGCCGCCGATCCTGCCTCAGCCTCCCCTCCCCTAAGTTCAAATGCTCCTGGGAGATGCTCCCCGCACCAAACCCTCACTTCAAACCCCACAGCCCACCCTCCACTCCCCCCACCTGCCCCTAGGCCCCGCACCAGGCTCTCCATGAAGCGGGGCACGGTGTCCCTGAGCAGGGCCTTTAGCTCCTCCAGGGACAGGGTCTCCACGTCCCCCTCCCGGGCCGCGTACTGGTGGTAGCTGCGGATGATTTGGAAGAGGGATTCCTCGACTGGCGTGTCCGTCATGGCAGCGGGGCCCTCTGATGGCAGCGGGACAAGGGCCAGCTCCAGAGATGTGGAGGTGGAGCAGCTGCGGACAGCGGAGAACCGGGGAGAGAGCAGCACCTCCTCTGGGCCGGCCCAAGCATCCTCTGCCCTTCCCTCCCTGCCCCCCTGGTCTCAGGCCCCTCCCTGCCCATCCTCGGTGCCTCAGATCACGGCAGCCAGTGTTGTGATCCTCACAGGTTCCTTGCAGCACGGCTGAGCCTTCACTGCATTCCTGGGATGACATCACACTCGCTTGCTCCCTAAGATGCACTCAGCCAGCTTCAGGGACCCACCTTCCCTCAGAGCCTGATCTGACGCATCTCAGACCCACACGAGGTCACAAGGTTATCCATCTCCCTGCCTCCAGCTCATCCTCCCAGCTCCAGGGCTTGGGTGGGGCTACACACACAGCTCCAATACGTCTCCTGGCATGTCCTACCTCAATCAGCGAACCCCCACTCCACAGTCATGAAGGACAGTCACTCATCCGACAAATATTTCTCGAGGCTCCACAGCGTGCGGACTCTCCAGGCAATATGAGTAGGACACGCGGCCAGCTCACAGGGCGGGAACGAGTGGAGGGGACAGTCACACTGTGAACACTGCTGATTTAGTGGCACAAACAGGGCACCCTGGGCACCCAGGAAGGGACACCATCTGCCTGGAGAGTTGAGGAAGGCTTCCTTAGGAGGCAACATTTAGGTGGGATTGAAGAGGCTGTTGCGAGGAGAAGCACGGAGGACCAGCACTCCAGACGGAGGGACCGCATGGGCAAAGGCTTGGCCTCCAGACAGCTACCACCTGGGCCTTTGAGTGGCAGGTGAACTCCTTCGCCCATCTCCAGCTTTCTGTCCGTCAGACAGCCCTTCTACCCCTGGGAGGGGCACTCAGCGGGGGAGTGAATCTCCCAGAAGGGGGCGCCAAAGGGCAGGTTATTGAACCAGAGATTAAGCCTCCACATCCCTGAAGGTTTGAGAGAAACAGGTAAATACTGAAGCCAAACTTCTTCCAGTTTACAGGGTGAGCCTTCATCTACCCAACATAATGGTTTCCTCGGCAAATAAGTGGTTCATCAATACACCAAAATAAAAATGGCTCACGTGTCTAAGAGGTAAAACAATTTGGCAATGCCAAGCTAGAGTCACAGAGAATTTATGGACTACCTTAGATTCAGCCATCATTCCCCTGGGAATTTATCCCAAGAAAGTAATTAAACAGCAATAAATCTGGTAAAAAAGCAATAAGTGGGTGTTGACCACAGCAATGTCTATAGCCATATAGGGAAGATAAAAACCTAGACACCGTGTTGGCTCAGTGTTTGAGTGCCTACCTATGAACTAGAGGGTCACGGTTTGATTCCGGTCAGGGCACATGCCTGGGTTGCAGGCTTGAACCCCAATAGGGAGCATGCAGGAGGCAGCCAATGAATGATTCTCTCTCATCACTGATATTTCTCTCTCTCTCCCTCTCCTCTCCCTTCCTCTCTGAAATCAATAAAAATATATTTTTTAAAAACAACCTAGGAACCACCTAATTAAGGAATTTGGTGTGCCAATATGATAATAACTTATCACTTAAAAATAATTCATTTTCAACAGAGAGCTTGTTGGGGGTAGAGGTTTCATATTGTACTCCCTTCACCCTGCCTTTTTTTCAATCTGGGACAAAAACAACCCCCGCGTTCCACACACCCCCGCCACACACACACACACACACACACACACACACACACTGTCCCAATACACGGTGATGATCTTCCACAGCTGTGCTGTAACTAGTCTTTCCATTAATACTGTGCTGTGGACATCTGCTCACACACTGTCAATGTAGCCTGATTTTTAACGAGTGCATAGTGATCATTTACTTGCATATATCAACATCTGTTCTTTAATCCATTACCAGTAGCCATTTAAATTATATTAGGTTCATACGATTCAAGGTTAATTCTTTCTTAACACTGACATCTCTTATTAGATTTTATTAAATATAATTTTATTAACATTTTATTATATTATATTTGAAATACATTTTATTTTAACTGAATATTACAGAAACTACAGTAAAAATTTAAGTATATCTAATATAAACACAAAAATGTAAAAGCTGCAATGAAAGGGGTGAGCAGCAGGGGGAGCCCCCTCTGCCGTGGCAGCTACACAGGCTGCGGCCCAGGACCGGGGACCACGGGCGTCGCAGGAGCTGAGGGGAGTTGCCCACATGCTGCAGGTGGTTCTTCTGCCTCGTCAAGGTCAGTGAAAGCTGTGCCCGGAGCCCACTCTGGCTCCGGAGAGGCCACGGGTGTCGGCGTTGCCTCCTGAGGTCTTTTTTTACCTGGCTCTGGAGCTGGTTCTGTAGATCCCAGAAGAGAACATGTTACCCCCATGACTGCCTCCATGTGCCTTCCAAAGACGGAACATCTCTCCTGTCCATCCACGGAGTCCCAGTGCCAGAGCCACCCCAGGAAGTCTTCCCAGACTGCAGGCCGCGGGGACAGTGATCTGAGCCGGCCCTGCCCCTGGCCTCCAAACGCTCTTCTCCGTGTGGCCGAGCCCCATCTCCTCCCACACGCCCACATCACCTCCCCGAGTCCATCTCCTCCCCACACGCCCACATCACCTCCCCGAGTCCTCCTCACCCTCCGCCTCCGCGTCTGTGGGCTCGCGGCTCTCCGGCTCCGAGTCCTCCTCACCCTCCGCGTCTGTGGGCTCGCGGCTCTCCGGCTCCGAGTCCTCCTCACCCTCCGCCTCCGCGTCTGTGGGCTCGCGGCGCTCCGGCTCCGAGTCCTCCTCACCCTCCGCCTCCGCGTCTGTGGGCTCGCGGCGCTCCGGCTCCGAGTCCTCCTCACCCTCCGCCTCCGCGTCTGTGGGCTCGCGGCGCTCCGGCTCCGAGTCCTCCTCACCCTCCGCCTCCGCGTCTGTGGGCTCGCGGCGCTCCGGCTCCGAGTCCTCCTCACCCTCCGCCTCCGCGTCTGTGGGCTCGCGGCGCTCCGGCTCCGAGTCCTCCTCACCCTCCGCGTCTGTGGGCTCGCGGCTCTCCGGCTCCGAGTCCTCCTCACCCTCCGCCTCCGCGTCTGTGGGCTCGCGGCGCTCCGGCTCCGAGTCCTCCTCACCCTCCGCGTCTGTGGGCTCGCGGCGCTCCGGCTCCGAGTCCTCCTCACCCTCCGCGTCTGTGGGCTCGCGGCTCTCCGGCTCCGAGTCCTCCTCACCCTCCGCCTCCGCGTCTGTGGGCTCGCGGCGCTCCGGCTCCGAGTCCTCCTCACCCTCCGCGTCTGTGGGCTCGCGGCGCTCCGGCTCCGAGTCCTCCTCACCCTCCGCGTCTGTGGGCTCGCGGCGCTCCGGCTCCGAGTCCTCCTCACCCTCCGCGTCTGTGGGCTCGCGGCGCTCCGGCTCCGAGTCCTCCTCACCCTCCGCGTCTGTGGGCTCGCGGCTCTCCGGCTCCGAGTCCTCCTCACCCTCCGCGTCTGTGGGCTCGCGGCTCTCCGGCTCCGAGTCCTCCTCACCCTCTGCCTCCGCGTCTGTGGGCTCGCGGCGCTCCGGCTCCGAGTCCTCCTCACCCTCCGCGTCTGTGGGCTCGCGGCTCTCCGGCTCCGAGTCCTCCTCACCCTCCGCGTCTGTGGGCTCGCGGCTCTCCGGCTCCGAGTCCTCCTCACCCTCCGCGTCTGTGGGCTCGCGGCTCTCCGGCTCCGAGTCCTCCTCACCCTCTGACTCCGCGTCTGTGGGCTCGCGGCTCTCCGGCTCCGAGTCCTCCTCACCCTCCGCGTCTGTGGGCTCGCGGCTCTCCGGCTCCGAGTCCTCCTCACCCTCTGCCTCCGCGTCTGTGGGCTCGCGGCGCTCCGGCTCCGAGTCCTCCTCACCCTCCGCGTCTGTGGGCTCGCGGCTCTCCGGCTCCGAGTCCTCCTCACCCTCCGCGTCTGTGGGCTCGCGGCTCTCCGGCTCCGAGTCCTCCTCACCCTCCGCGTCTGTGGGCTCGCGGCGCTCCGGCTCCGAGTCCTCCTCACCCTCCGCCTCCGCGTCTGTGGGCTCGCGGCGCTCCGGCTCTGAAAGGAGCAGCTGGGCCTGGCGCTCCAGGGCTGAGCCTGGGAAATTGAGCTCCAGGTAGGCCAGCAGCGTCACCAGGCCCGGAAAGTCTGGGGGCTGGAAAAAGTCCTGAGGGAACTGGTCCAGCCACATGCCCAGGATGGAGATGATGGCCCTGGGGAGAGACGTGGGCAGCAGAGTCTGAGCCTGGCCTCTCCTTCCACACTAACCTCCCCAGGATCCCTGTGGGAGCCTGGGGTCCTGTGCCTCCTGCTCCTGCCCCCCTTCAATCCGGCACAGGTACACCTGGCCACCAAGGAGGGGCTGGCTGAAGCCTTCATAACCGAGAGCTCTTGATCAATAGTGAGACTGCCTGGCCCTTCTTCAGGGAGGCCTGACAGTCAGTGTCCCTGCCCCTTCCCACCGGAATGTCAACTCCATGCGGGCAGGAACGGGTGGTGTCTGCTCTGCTCATTGCCCTCACTGGCGCACAGTAGGGGCTCCATAAATATCTGATCAATAGGAGAACAAAAGGTCTCTGTTTCCAGCCCTGGCCTCTTAGAGATGTCTTGGCACCTCAGACTTTAGCTCCTGCACCGACATGCTGCTAATTCACTAGGTGCCCCGTGTGCTTCTTCTCCTCCCACTGACACTCAACTACCACAGGCGGGGAGCACCAGCCAAGCACCCACTGTGGAGGTTCTACCAGATTAGTGAGCAGGGTGCCCCCCACACCCCTTGTTCTGGGTCCCAGGGTGGGGGAGTATATGCAGGGCTGGGTTGGGAGGGGATGGGGATGGATTTTCTGAGGGGCTGACTCTGTCCACTAACCTCCCAATGCTCTCCCACCACCCAATCCACATCCAACGCTATGACTCCTTCCCTTTTTTCTAGGTAAAGTCCTCAGACCTGGGCCCTCTTGCAGAAATCCCACGATGTGTGGGATGCAGGGCTCTGCCAGCACCTCCAACTCTTAGTCCCTATACTCCCCTCCCGGCTCTGATCCAAAGCCCACTCACTTTTTCTGCTGGTCCACAGGCCCACCATCCTCTTCAGCATACGGGAAGATGCAGCCATACCTAGAAGAGGCCAGGAGGACGTCACATCGACTGCCCTGTGAACACCACCTGCCTGTGAAGTCTAGTGTGACTGTCTCACTCCCGACTACAAGGAAGCTCTGGAAAGCAGGGCTGGGGTCTGCTCCGTGCACTGGGTTATGGTCAGTGCCTAGAACATGCCTGCACCTGCCGATATATCACAGGTATCTCAGTTAGCCCGCTGCTCACCCCTGGGATTCCTGCTCTGCTTCACCCAGGACAGAGAACCCTAATGAAATCTCCAATCTCCTTTTCAAATGAGAAAACAGCTCAGCCCAAGGCCCCGAGGAAAGTGAGGGATGAGGCAGAGGCTTCATCATGAGGAAGAGAAAATGACCAATTAGCACAACCACCACCCCTCCTGCAGACCTCTCCAATGGCCAGGCCCCCAGAGAGCACATTACAGGGAGGACCTCACCAGGTTTCTATAAAAATCCTATGAGTTTGCTCCTGGGCTTACCCCGCTGTTCAGAGGAGCACACAGACTCAGGGAGATGCAGTGACCTTCTGAAGACTCACAGCTAGCAAGTGCCCGGATGACCACCGAGCTGTGGAGGGGCAGGTGCTCACCTTGTCAACAGTAGGTCCAACACCTGTTGGGTGGTGGCGAAAGCTCTGTAGTTCCAGAGAAAGGTGGGGACGAAGGTGGGGTCCCTGCCCAGGAAGGCAGGCACCAGGTACTCCACCAGCTTGGCCAGCCGGTGTGCCCGGGCGGTCGGTACCATACAGAGCTTATTTGTGTTCCCGGTGGATGCGGTTTGCCCCTGGGGTGGGACAGAGGAGGGACACGCAGTCAAAACAGCATCATGGACCACCAGGTGGGTTGGCAGCTGCAGCTCAGACCTAACCCACAAGCCCTCAGTGACTGGTGGCAAGGGGGGACACCAATGCTTGCAGGAGGGAAAATGTTCTTGGCATGAAAAGTAGAATTGCCTCTGGCTGGTATGCTCAGTGGTTAGAGCCCCCCCCCCCCCCCCCGGGCCTCTCAGAAATCTCTCAGTTCAATTTTGGTCAAGGGCACCTACTGGGTTTCGCATTTGCTTCCCATGCCCCCTGTCAGTCAGGGCATGTGTGGAAGGCAACCAGTTGATGTGTCTCTCTCACATCATTGTTTCTCTCTCTCTCTCTCCCCCTCCCTTCCTCTCTTCCACTCTCTCTGAAAAGCAATGAAAAAAATATCCTCAGGTGAGTATTAACAGCAGCAAAGTAGAACTGGAGGTGTGGAACAATGAAGCACATTAGTATCTTAGGTCATATTTTGCTAGCTGAGGATGGACAGCACGTCCCTGTGTTAACAGTGTCATCCCTGGGATTTCTGACAGAGCATCCCATGCTAAGATGAGAACACAGAGGCTTTTCATGGGGTGGGAGGGGTCAGGATATTAGAACATGTGAGATGTTCAGGGCAGCACTGTTGACATGGCAACAGAAGGGGCTCAGTCCAGGTCCCACAGCAGGGAAGGGCTGGATCGCCATGGTAACTGGTCCCCCTCGGGGTATGATATACAGCCCTGGGAGACCCCAGCTCCTGACCTGGAGGGGCCACCAGGATATATTCCTCCGGGGCAGAAAGTGGCAACGCAACAAGACATGGTACCATCAGCCCTGTGTCTTTTTGGGGACAAGCATCCCTACTATTCATGATGGTGGGTAAGGCTGAGAGAGGCATGCAAGGATTGTCAGGCCAACATGGACACTTGGGGATGGGTGTTAAACAAGAAAATCTGTAGAAAAATGCAGAAATACTCTTGACTGAACGTGAGGTGAAATGATACAAAAGCCTCCTTCCTGATATTCCTACAAATATGCAGACAGTGACTCTGCTCCTGGCAGGAAGGGGCTGGACAGTGAGGGTGGGTTGGGGGAGAAGATGGAAACCCAGGTCCCTTTGGGAGCAGGACTCTAGGAAGGGGCTCCGGGGAGTAGCAGAGTGGCTTCTGGAACCTGGGCCCCTTTGACTCCTGGGGTCCTGGAGGTCGGGCCACCTGGGCCTCTGCACTCACCTTGAGACCGAGCGGCACTCTTTTGGCAGCGAGGGGCTCCTGTGCCTCCTGCTGGGGGATGGCATTGAGAACCCCATCAGTCGGCTCCTGTCTGACCTCCTGTCTGACCTCCTGTGGGGAGCTCTGTAGAGACAGTGCCCAGCCGCCAGGCGGAAAGCCTCAGAGCCCGGCCTGTGCTTCTCAGACCCTGTGGTTCTTTCCACTTCAGAAACATACACATTTTACTCAGACCCCCACGAAGGACAGAAAAGACGTGACAGGCTGAGGGCCTAGGATTGTCATTGGCACAGAAAGGCCCCTTGGAAAGCCCCTCTCCGTGCTGGCTGTGGTCATGACAGCATCACTAGGATATGCCCCGCCCTGCAACCTGCCCAGGGGTCCTCCCTTCAGGTTCCCCTTCCCCCACGTGGAGAGGAGGGGATGGGGGCTGCCCAGGGATGGCTCCCAGAGGTGGCCCGGCCTGAACTGGGCTGCCTGAGGCTGCCTGTATTACCTGAGGGGATCTCCTGGAGAATGGCCAGAGACACCGGGGATGAGGGTTGAACCAACGTCTCCAGAATTTCGAAAAACTCCCACTGTGGGGTCTCCGGGAGCAAGAGCCCCGATAACAAGAGATCCAGCAAGAGGACATCTTCAACTCTCAAGTGTCTCTTGCCAAGTGAAGTGGCTGTTGGGCTGCTGCTAGACTGTGGCTGCCTGGTTACGGGGGGTTCTAAGTTCTTTAGGGAAGTGACCTCAGTTCCTGTGACCCCCTTCCCTGAGTCCCCTCCTCGAATAACAGATATCCAAATAGTCCTCAGGGTTGCTGACTGCTCACACCCCTTCTCCATGGAATACATACCGGTCCCCACTGACACCAACACGCCTTCCTCCACAGCCCCCTAGGAGGTCTGGGTACAGCCAGGGTCCAAGATTTGAGGAGATAGACTTGGGTTCAGACTCAACCCCTCATTCTTTCTTCTTCTTGATCCTGGACAAGCCACGGTGGCTGTCAGGGCCTGTCTGTCTCCTGCCTGCACAATGGATTATGCAGCATGTACGTCTTGGAAATAATGTCAGGCACATGTGGGAGAGCAGCTGTAAAGTTGGAGGAGTGCTGTCATGTGGAAGAAGTGCCTCCGACCTGTCTTTGCTTTCTCTTGTCACGTCTTCTATGTCTGCTCTTCTTAGTATCCCTCCCATAGTCATTACAGCTAAAGCCAAGGGCCATCTGGATACTTACAACACCATCCAAGGGCCATGCAAAATGTCACTTTAAAAATCAGCCTGCTGTATTTGGTCAAACATTTAATTAACTCGCCCCTAATGCCTTGGCAGGGCCAGACCAAATGATTTTGTGGGCCTTATACAGGCCACGGGCCGGACATTCCCCACCCTTGACCTAGAGGAGTGTGTGTGTGTGTGGGTGTGTGTGTGTATACACTCGCACACATGTCAGTGCTCACTTACTGGATCCCAGGGAAAAAAAACAAAAAACACAGTCCTCACATAGGCAGGAATAGGCAAGAGTTTCCCAAATGTTAGGATTTCTAATTTTCAAACCAACCCTATGGGACAGGTTGGAGCCTTTGCCTGGAAGGTCACAACACGCCTGACCTCTGGACTCTGCCTGTCATGCACCTTGGCCAGTCTCACCTCACTATGGGCAGCAATCATCCAATTTAGAGTGAGATTCAAACCTGCAGAAGCATGAGCTCTGCATAAAGGAGCCCCCAGCTACCTCCACCCTGGTGGCTGTGGAGAGGAAGGCACCCCATATTCCCTGACCGGGCCTGTCCTCAGACAAGGACTGGCTAAATGCTTGTCTGGACTGCCAAATGCTCACCCTCTCCCCTGTGCCATCTCCATGGCTGCACATGGTTCTATCAGCACAGTCTTTTCCAGAGCCCCCGAGAAAGCCTGGGTGCAGCCAGGACCCCAACTGTGAGGACACCGTTGTCTCTGTGATTCTGGGCAGAGCAGGGGCCTTTCAGAACCGTCCACTTCTCCCCCGAGTGGCTCCCCACGACTCACACCTCCTGGAGGACACATCCTCCTGTGATGTGGATGGTGCCCTTCCCTTAAGTGTGGCCTCCATTAGTGACTCCCTAGGAGACAGCAAAGTGATCCAAGGTCACTTCCAAGATTTGCTTATAAAATTTCAGTGCCAGCCGAAACCGGTTTGGCTCAGTGGATAGAGCGTCGGCTTGCGGACTGAGGGGTCCCAGGTTTGATTCCGGTCAAGGGCATGTACCTGGGTTGCGGGCACATCCCCAGTAGGAGATGTGCAGGAGGCAGCTGACCGATGTTTCTCTCTCATCGATGTTTCTAACTCTCTATCTCTCTCCCTCCTCTCTGTAAAAAATCAATAAAAAAAAAAAAATATATATATATATATATATATATATATATATATATATATATATCAGTGCCTAACCACTTGCTCACTCTGATCTGTGTCTCTCTATCTCTCTCAGGTCCCTCATTCTGGGGACTCGGCCTCTGTGCTATGAGTCGCTGTCTGAAGAGACCCACATGGCCTCTCACCGAGGGGAAGTCAGGCCTTCAATCCAAGCTGAATCCTGCCAAGACCCCCGAATGAGCTCAGATCCTGAGTGAAACAGGTCCTGCCTCAGTTGAGACCGCAGCCCCAACCTCCTGGGAGTCACTGGCAGAAATACTCAGCTGAGCCTCGCGGGATTCCCCGTCCAAGAAACTGAGAGATAATAAGTGTTTCCTGATTGTAGCTAAGTGATGGGTAACGTTGTCACACGGCAATAGATCACTAATACGGTTGCCCCTGCACCAGGCCCTGGACCAGTCCTCCTCCCTCCCACGCTCCCTCCCCCATCTCCTCCCAGGCTCCCTCCAGCCACACCCACCTCCTTTCTTTTTTTTTTTTTTTTTTTTTTAATATATTTTATTGATTTTTTACAGAGAGGAAGGGAGAGAGATAGAGAGTTAGAAACATCGATGAAAGAGAAACATCGGTCAGCTGCCTCCTGCACAGCCCCTACTGGGGATGTGCCCGCAACCCAGGTACATGCCCTTGACCAGAATCGAACCTGGGACCTTTCAGTCTGCCTTTCAGTCCACAGGCTGATGCTGTATCCACTGAGCCAAACAGGTTTCGGCCCACCTCCTTTCTAAGCTCCTCTCTGTCCAGGCACCTTCTGCCTGCAAGTGTCTGCACAGTTGTGCCTTCTGTCAGGAGAAATATGCCTGAGTATCAGGGAGCCGCGGAAGGAGTCATCCACATGGACAAATGACTCGCCCACCGAGTTTCCTGCAGGTGGGACAGAGGAGATTTGGAGGCAGTTGCTTAATTTCTCCCTGAAGAATGTGGCCTGATTGAGGGGTTAGCGGGAGACTGCGTAGAGGTAGGGAGTGACCCAGCTGGATGATGGGATCCTCAAGGAGGGGAGCTACTGAAGCAGCAGGGACATGCCTGGAGGTGGCCCTGGATGTACAGGTGAGTGCTGACTGGCCTCCTGGCACCTGGAGAGGCCGCATCTGTGGGAGAGCCAGCGCTTGCTCAGGCAGCCCCTGTTCTTGCTTCTTTCTAAATGCTCGGCCTCTACCACCTTGAAAGAGCATGTGGGTAACGGCACGTCTCTTTCCGCGGCTAGTGGCGTGGACGGTCGCTGATGACTCAGCATGAGCTCTCCGCTCCTCCCTCGTGCCCTCTCCTCCCCGCTCCTCTTCAGTCCTGTCTTCTCACTTGCTGCCCAGACACTCTCTGG